TGTATTAAATGTTTTGTTTAATTCAATTTCACGTGGATTTTGTGTTAGATTCATAGATAACAATTTGTATTAAGTAGATTTAGTTTGTGACGTCAAAATGAAATCGCAAGTGATTTCAATAATGACTTTATATTGTTGTGAGAATTTAAAAATATTTAATACCTTAATCAGCAGTTTTATGGATGTGATTGGCATTAAATTTAAATAGCATTATTCAAATATTTTAACACAATAATTAATAATGTCGGAGGAAAAAATTTAACGGAATTAATATATAAGGTCTATGTGTGTGTAATATATTCATTGTATTGTGTTTGCTCGATTTATGCAATGTAGCTCATTGTCATAGATTAAAGATTAAGTAATTATTCTAAAATAAACTGAGATTAAAATCGGTATTTGATTTTCGGTATCGGCCTTGTGATTTTTACATATTTATATTTAAATTTCTTTTAAAATATAATGGAAAAGGTTCTTTAAATATACAAAGTTCAGAAAACGGAGAAAATATACTATTGAGATATAAACTGAAAATACCTTTGAATAAAACCGGGATTTGAAACGAAAAACTTAAATTTGAAGGCTACACGGTTTACATATCGTAAGATACCTGAACTGTTTCCTGAAAACAGGCACTATTACTCCTGATTTGTTTCATGTGTCACAGGAATAAACGAAGTCTCTTAGGAATCATTTGAATTTCGTACGAATATTGTGCCTGAGTTGACTAAAGACTATATGACTGAAATGCAACTGAAAATTTTAATTTTCTACAACTAGTATAATTTTATAGTGTAGAATAATCTACTAAATTGAGCTGATGGTCTTACCAATGAGTGGCGTCTGCTTTCATTGGGCCGGAGCCACGCTTTGGGGTGCCCTGAGCGAATGGGAGGAGCGGGCCAGGGCTGAACACTGGAATGGCTGCTTGAGCCTGTCGCAGTCTAAGAATTTGTGCCTCCCCTGGGACTTGACTGGAGGACGGGGTCTGACCATGCTCAATTGTCAACGAAACCATAGAGCACTTACTGTGTGAGTGCGAGGCTGTTGCCCGCCAGCGACTAAGATGATTCGCGCCGGGGGGGGGGGGGGGGGGGGGGGCGTTGTGAGCCCGGGGATTATCTCGCAAAAACCTACTAAATTACTATGGCTTAAAATTTAATATTAATTTAGTTAATCTGTTTTAATATCATAAACATAATGTAAGCTAATTAGAGTATTATTGTGATTCATTAGGCTCATTTCATATAGTATTTTCATTATCACACAGAAAAAAAACTTTCATTTACATTAAAACATTTAAAGGAAAAAAAATTACAATTTTAAATTTTTTATAATCATTAAAAATTTGATACTTAATTTTAATGTACTTAATTGAAAATATCACTTGTATACTTACTGATACTAGTTTCATTTAGTTTCATTCAATTTTATTTAGTATTTAATGACAATATTGCTCATTTTCTATTAGATAATTTAATTTTTGCTAAGAATTTTTTGTAACTATGTTCATTTTATGTAAATTATATTTTATTATTTTTTTTTTTGCAAAAAATATACACCTACATTTTGTTGTCTCACATTTAATTATATTATTAATAATTTATTATTCAAATAAAATATTTAAAAAGAATATGAAAAATATTGAAATATCAATTAGCACCATGTCCATATTATGTATAGTGTTTTCTCAAAACTTTCATATTGATTGAGCTAAGTTTTCTTACAGCTATTGAATATTAAACCCTTTTGGTCGGTTCGATTTTAAAATTGCAATATAATTTACCAGCGTTACTGTAATGTTGAATATTTAAGTGATATTGGGTGCAAGATCTATTGCTAACCTCATAATTTTACAAAATATACATATACGAGTATGTAAAGGAATTTTAAATAATTTTTCATTAAAAAAAATTCATTTTTACTTAAATTAACTACAAAGTAGCGCTCTTATAACGCAGTTACGTTATAACGCAAATTATAAATTCCATAAAAGCACGTTTTTTTTGCATTTTATTTTCTCTATGCCAGTGGTCGGCAAAGTGCAGCTCATTTAACTTTAAATTTCGGTCCATTATTCTAGTTGCAAGAAAAAACTGTATTCGTCAACAAAACAATCAATAAAGTGTGTTGAAAATGTCAATAGTATAGTACATAATTGCCCATAACCTACAAATTTTTGTGGACGGTTGCAGTCTATGCTAATTAAAAAATTTTTAAATCGAAACTTTGATAGTTATTTAGTATCAGAAATAATAATAATACTTGAGTTACTGGTACCAGCAATGCAAATCTATTGAACATAAAAAATTTAATAAATGCGAACATCAACACAATACCGGCAAGTATCTATCGCAATTGTTGAAGACATGGCGTCCAAGAATTAAATGTACTGATCATGACTTGCCATGATTAAATCAAAAACAGAAAATTCTGTAATTTTATGCAGGCAAACAATATTTTTTTCGAAGACTATAAATCCGCAAAAAATTTGATACTCCTACAATAAAAAATTTCTAAAGGGTTAAAATACAAAGAAATTTTTTTTAACAATTTTATTATGTATTCTCAGTACAAAATTAGTATTCAACTGGTTTAGTAGCATTGTATAATCATAACAAAATAATTTTATTGGAAATTAAAACAAATTTTTAATTGCATACTTAACTACATATACATATATATATTAGAGAAAATTATAAATTAATGCAATTTCTGGTGCAATACACTTTGTTCACGAGAAAATTATAAACAAATTGAAAAATTTTTTTTTTTGAAAATTTAATTACTAAAGAGAGGGTAAGTTTATAATGTATGTGTTCGTACATAGAATAATGTCAGAATATTTAGATAAGTTCGATAAAGTTAAAGATGATAAAGCGGCGAAACTATAATTAAAGCCTATATAATTGAAAATTGTCTCAAAATTCAATTAATTTGATTTTCTCTTGTTTCATAAGTCAAATACCTATTTAATTACCTAACAATTGATTGAATTGTTAAAACAAAAACAAAATCATTTAAAACGACAACATCAATTTATAAAGTACACAATAATTTTTCTTTTATATTTTAATTAAATTAAGAGAAACAAAAATTTTTGGCATTTTTATACATTTGCGCTTTAATCATTATAGGGTAGATTATACTTTAATTGTGCTATACATTATTATCATAAATACAGTTATGTTCAGTTGTTATCGGTAAAATTTAATTGTGCTAATTAATTATATATATATATGATTTATAAATGATATGTACGTATGTACATAATGTGTGTGCGCGTTTGATTATAAAAATTTAAATAAAAAAAAATTTTTTACTGATCTGTATTACACTTAATTCTTCAAGTGACACTAACCTTGGCTTTTATCCAAAATAAAATAAGAAATATTTTAAAGAACTTAAATATCACAATTTCATATAGATTTGAGGAAGTATTTGCCGTACATGAACTTATTGAATTTAGTTAAAAATAAAAAAAAATAAAATTTTATTCTAAATTTAAAAATGAAAAATATTTGAAATGTTTGATGGAACTGAACACATTCTATTTCCCCTATAAAATTACAGAAAACGTTTAAAATGTAAAAATTATACTTGCACGTTTAAAATAAATAATTAACAAAATTTTGACAGGGTGTTCGAAAATTTATCGATAAATTTTTTTAACGATTTTACTCTTTAATTTTTATACGGGACGGGGTCTTGTGTTGTGAAGATTTCATATTCAAAAATAAGCATTTTTTTTTTATAGTGAATCAGAAAATTTCTGACAAAATGTTTGCAGTTTCTTTTAAGATGTGTTTAGAATTTTTATCTAATGTCTTTAAAAACAAGTGTTCAGTGGCTAAAATTAAAAATTACAAATTTAAAAAAAAATATTACAAATTTTGTTCATTTATTTATGATTAAGCAGAAATTTAGTCCATTTCTGACAATTTAAAAATGTCCGAATAGATTTTCAAAAATTTAGTTAAGTTTAGCAAAAAAAAATTGATAATGTACTTGAATAGAAATTATTTTATTTTCTAAAAATTTGTTATTAAGTTTTCAAGCTTAAATATTTTTCCTAGAAATTTTCAATTCTAATTTTTAATCATGTTACTTATTATTGTGTCATAAGTAATCTTATTATAGTTTTCATTAAAACTAGTCATTTGCAGAATGACACTGTTGAAATAATAAAAGATCAGCACACCTTGCAAAATAAATTTTCGTTTGAATATTAAGTACATAATATTATTTACATTGAGCATTATCACATAATAGAAAAATAAATTTAATATTGAAGTAAATGAATTATGTCAGCTGAGCGTAAATAAGCTTTTATTATAAATAAACGTAGCAATAACAAACATTGTGAATTATTATTATATTTCACACATACAGGCTATTACGGTAATAAATAGTCCGTTCCATTCGTATGGTAATTGTTTAGTGAAAGGACAACTCTGGTGCACGTTTTTAAATAATAATTGAACTTCTAAATTTTAGGTATGTTAGATTCACTTTAGTTAACAGGGAATTAAGTCGAATTAGATTATTTAGTTGAAAATATGGAATTTATAAAATTAAACTATAGTGCATCGGTGGGTTTAAAATTTCAGCTACGTTTCGACCTATGGTCAAACATCTTTTATCAAATCTTATAGTGATCATGTCTACCCAAATACACGAATTTTTTTTTTGTGATTTTATAAAATCTAAATCACTTTAAATTATTTTAACACTCTTAATTTATAATGTAAAAAATTAAATAAAAAACAAAAAGAAAAATTCAGTTAACTAAAAGGTTTGTTAAAAATTAATTATCATGCGACAATGTACATGGGAAGTATTTGTATGTAGCTGCTATAGTGATTCTTTAATTGTACAATACAATATAGAGAAAAAAAAAACACCGGCCAATTGTTTTATTTCTTCTTATTATATGTAACTACCTATGTGTAGTTTCTAAAATCTGATGAGAATTTAGTGAGTAATTGAACGACGTTGAATACAGTATGTTGCTTTATGGCTGCTCTTGTATTTATTTTTAAAAACGGTGATGATAACAAAAGTACTCGTAAACGTGAATAATACCAAGCAATAAAAATAAATAAATAAAAACAAAATAAGCAAAAAAATAAATAAATAAATGAAAATTTAAAAATAAAAGAGAAAAAAAAATCATAACAATTGAATAAACAATTAATTTAAAAAGAGAGACCGGTAATTTAATTTAATAAAAAAAAAAAATTTTCTAAAGAGATTATTCATGGACATTTCAAATTTTTTTACATTATTTAGATTTTCATTGGTTTGTTAAATTGTTGTTTTGAGAAGCTTAGGTTTTATGCTTTGCTGCCAATCTATTTCTCTTCCGTTTTACATTATTATTACCATTAAAATATTGGCAACTCTAAGCGAATCTATCCTATCTTACCACTCGTATGTTGTTTATTTTTCAAATAAAGAAGATTAAAAAAAACAAATTACTAAAAAAAGGTGTTGCTGTTTTTGGTTATTGCTGATTTTATAAAATTTATGGTATTATCAAACAGAAGAACAGTAATTACGATTTTCTTAATTAAAATAAGTGTTACCGTTACAATTCCTTTCAAATAGTGTAGACCAAAGAGAACAGAAATTGCGGTGTTTTTTTGATTAAAATAAGTGTTTCCGTTGCAATTCCTTTCAAATAGTGTAAATCAAACAGAACAGAAATTACGGTTTTCCTAACTAAAATAAGTGTTGCCGTTGCAAATATTTTTGATAGTGTAAATTAAAAAGTTTGAACTGCAAGTGGTTTTTCCATTTTATTTTTGTTAATACATTGGCTATGGTAGATTCCGTGAAAATTTTCCAAATGTAGATTAACGCGATTTTATCTTTGTTAACACAAATTGAATCCAAAAAATATTTATTGTGCCTATAAGATATACTCATTGCATTAGCTTTAAAACTCCAAAAAAAAAGACTGCTTCTAATATTTGGGATTCTTTTCTACTACAGTCAAATTAGCCTACTTAAAAATTACAATTTTGATGATATTGGATTTTAGAAAATTTTCGCAGAATAACAATAAATGAGATGAAAAGAATATTTTTGTTATATTCACACTGGAACGGCAAAACTATAATATTACACCTGCTTATTATGAAAAGGTGGGAATTGTGTTGTCGTCATTGTTATTTTTTTTTTCATTTTTTTGTTGTTTTGATATATTAAAATATTAAGACCATCATAACAGTATGAGTGGGAACTATACGAGTACTTAAAATATAAGAGGTTATTTTGGGAAAATAAGAAGTTTGGAAAAAAATTTATTTATAATTGTGTGCTTGTAAATTTTTTAATATCCAAGATAGATTTTAATTACAGGACAGAAAAATTACTCTGAAACGAGAATTTAAGAAAACAATTTCCGAGCGTTGTCTTATTGCGAAATCGTCAATATAGTCCGTTAAAATTATTTCAATTCTAATTACTTACTGTTATGCATATAAATTGTATGCCGAAAGTATGCAAGTTATAAAACTAAATTATATATACAGTAAGTAATAATAAGCTTGCATTCGTAACCGCATACAAAAGGAATGAAAATAAAGAAACGTGAACGTAAAGCAAAATATTAACTACTTCTATGTAAGTTAAATTTAGTTGTGTTATGTTTGCTTGTAAATTAAATGGGTAGTTTATGAATTACGTGAGTGATAAGATTTAAAAAAGAAGCACATTATTAAAAAACATACGCTCGTAAGTACAAAATCTACTGACGAAGATTTTTCAATTTTTACATGGAACTATGAACTATCGATATTTTATCATGTCGGTACATGTTTTAGTAATAATACAACAATTTTAATGAACAGTAAAGTTTTCAGTTAATTATTTTGATCAATATTTAACACATTTTCCAACAGTTTTTCCAATATGTACAAGAATTCTTAGGCAATGTCCAAAAAAATTATAGCTTCAATATTTTGTTTGCGTTTAAATCAGTCTGTACAATCCAAAATCTATAAATATGGACTCAATGAGATTAATTGGATTAAAGGGTTAAAATGTGCTATTAGCGATTCAAAAATAATTTTTTTTTTTTATTTAATATTTAAATTAGTTTTCCATATTTTAAAATTATACATATTATAAATTTTAATTTCAACAGCTTTCTCTTAAAAATTTTGCATATTATTATTAGGGTAACTGATATTTCAAAAATAATTTAAAAAAACTACATTTTGCATAATGACCATTAATTCTAATTGAAAATTATAAAAATTTTAAAACAAAAATAACAATCTTCAAAAGCTCACAATTAATATTTAGCAATTTAAAAAATTTAAAGACTGAATATTGTTAACTATTTTGAGCTTAGTAGTATTCCTTATTACATGATATAATTGCCCGAAATTGTTATAACTATTATGAGTAAACTACACCTATTTACTATTTTACTTATTTGTTTAATTAATATTTTAATTTTTAATTTTTCAGATACACTTGTGATTGAATTTTATATTGCTGCCCATTATTTTAAAATTGTAAGTGTACTTAAAGAAAGAAACAAGGAAAAGATGATAATCGATCAGCAAAATATTAAGGATAACTATCTCCTGCTACTAATATTTTTTATAGTGATATTTTTTATTACGGTAATTTTTTACAAATATTTTTTTTTAAAACATTCATTTTAAATGCATAGCCTAAAGCTTAAGAAACATTTTATATTGCAATTATCACAAGCATACTAGTCATTCCATTATTAATGTAGCAGAATAATATTAAAGATTTGGTAATAAAATTGGCTTTTAAATCATAAAATCAAAGGCCAAAACAAAAATCATAGGTCATGCTGAAATACATAAAATCAATTAGGTATTTATGACAAATTTGATGAATGTAAAAATAATTTTAAAATTTATAGATAACCTTTTTCAATTATAACTATACCGTAGGTCAAATTTATTTTGTAATTTAATGTGAGAAGAACACAAACTAAAAGTAATAGGCTCTTAGTAGACATAATGAAGTCTTGCCGTTTCGCAATTAAGTAAACTTGTTTTGGAAAATATAAAAGTAATCCGGAATTAGTATGAAGCTAGTATACATTATATTTAAATTGATTTAGTAGCTATAACTGATTAGTTTAATTAGTACATTCTTAATTTATACTCGTGTATAGCATGAACGTTAATTTAATCTTCGTTATACCCGATACTTCAACAACAATATTTGTGTTTACATTTTTGTTAAAAAAGCTTTCCGTGTTTTTTTTTTTTTTATTCTTATTTTCATTATTCTACACGATTTACTAATTTTTGCATTTAGTTGTATATTTCGTAATTTATTCTAAATTATATTCTCTTTTAAAAATATTTAATTGTAAACGTTTACAAGTAATAATTATATTGTAGAAAATAAAAATATAACCAATTAGAAAATTACAAAATAGAATTGATTATCAATCACGAATTAATCATCGGTATATTATTCACCTGTATATATAGAATAAATTACATTGATATAGATAGAAAAAGTGTTGTCGCTTCTTTTACATTGGAATAGATGGGAAGGGTGCGCGGTTGAATTTTTATTCATATAGAATATTGGTTAAAGTCTGATAATAGTTAATGGGAATTATTGTTATCACAAAATTTTGTCTAATAATAATTAATTGTATATATATGCAATATGGCATTTTTGGGGTACTTTTTTATTTGTTAAGTTGCAACTGTGATTTTATTACAGTTTAATAAAATCAATTCAGTGAAATTAGTTTCTAGTAAGGAATGAATCCAAAAAGTTGAATAATATTTCATATTTTTAAAAGACATTCCGATTGCAATGAAAATCGGTTAATCAGAATACAGTTTTGCCCAGATAGACACAGAATCTGAGTTTTTGTTAAAATTATATGCTTTTTCGAATTTTTAATAAGTATATTGTTATTGAAATTTCGATTTGTTAAATTCAATCACTAAACTACTACTAAATTCAATCTATATATTTCTTAAGTGACAATAATTTAATAGACGATAATAAACCATGTTTTCGAAAATATATTTAATATTATAAAATTACTATTACTTTCATATTCAAATTATTGAAAAACTACATTATTTACTACAATTTACTATCACGTTTACTATTTATACCTACTTACTGTTAAAATTTACTATTTTCTTACTACACAAGAAACACAACATTAATGTGTGACAACATGACAAATATTACTTGAAAAGAATAATAGAAAAACAAAAGAGATGAGATGAGATGTAAACAAAGAGAGTTTGAAAAAAAAAAAACAGAAGAGATCAATCATTTACATCATTATTGAACGACCCCTAATCTCTTGATACAAAAAGTTCATATAAGATCAACTTAAATCAGACAAATTTTTATTTTGTATTGGCTTAGTAGAGGGAATCATTCGTGTTGATTTTTTTTTGTTAGTTTTTTTTGTTTTTTTTTTCTTTTAAACTATTCAAAAAGTTTAGTGTGCATATGTTTATCATATTGTGTTTTATATAAGTATGTAATATGAAATTAGTTGTTGTTTTCTTGTTTAATTTTTTTTTTTTACTTTTATGCTCATTTGTAAAATAAAATACAGTCGCGCGTGAACTCTTTACATAAACTGCACTTAGGAATTTATTATTTAAAAAAAAAAAAAAAAATAAAAATTATTATACAAAATTACAGGAACTTTTTAATAAAATATTAAAAAAATAAATTATTTTTAATAAATGCTCCTACACGCTATACATTTAAAATAAACATAAATTTAAAAAATATATTTAAAAAAAAAATATATTAGTTTTAATTGATTAAAATTAAAGAAAATATTATAACAAAAACGAAAAAAAAAATTTATACACAAAAAAGAATAAATTAAAATTTAAGAGTGTTGAATAAGGTAAAATTAAGCTTGAAAAACAAAAAAACTCATTACAAAATAATTAAAAAGTCAAAATCTTGTCGACTTAAGCGCATGCCTACGTAACTCTATTCAATGTGTATACGAAATCAAAATCATATTTTTTAAAATTATATTTTTTTTATTAATTTAAACAAATTGAAATTATTATTAAATTGAATTATAAACAAAAGAAAAAAATAGTAACAAATTTTATTTTTATTAATAAAAATATTGTTAAACAAATTGGAATATAACAAAAAAAACGAATTTAATTCAATTAAAGTGTCGCCATCTACATAATATTTTATAGCTAAATTTATCTTATTTTATTTTGGCAATTATTTACTTTACAAAAATTGTTCAAGTTCAAGTATATTTTTTGATTCTGAAGAGAGTATAGATTCTCTTATAGGAACCGATCTATACATTATAATAGTGTATACCTGTTATTGTTATTGTTTTTAAACAGGAAAAGAATAATAAACATAAAAAAAAAAAATTATATTGTCAAAATTTATGAAAATGTCAAAATATGACAAATTTATTCAATTATAAAAAAATTTTATTTAGTTTTTGACCATATTTTTACACTTGTGATCAAGTAATGAAAATTTTATATACCAGTTTACATAATAAAATTTTGTTCATTTAATTTTCTTTAAAGACCTCATTTAATTTAATTTTCTTATTTTATATGTAGGGCTGAACTGAATAAAATTAATTTTAGTTTAGTTTACAATCGTTTTTATGATAATTGAAATTTTTATATTATTAATTATCTAACTGTTATAATTTGAGTACATGAATGCATGTACAATAAAATAATTTATTCAAAAAATTTTAGATAGAAATGTCAAATTATATTTGAAGGTCATATTATTATATTGTAGATAGAAATAATATTGGATTTCATGTATTTATGTAGATAGTTTTAAAATTTCTGTAATAGCAACGATTAGCTATTGAAATTTCAATTAAATATATTATAATTAGTTGTATACAATTAAAATTTCGAGAAGAAAATTGGTAGATGGCGCGATTTTGACATACGATTATGCGTATTCAATAAGAATGTTTTGTATTTTGAATATATTGTATTTTAAGTATATTGTTTTTCATTAGACATTTGCACGGTCTATTAGACCTTATGATTTTATATGTACATCTTTCAAATGAGACCAATTTTATTTTTACCAAGTGTGCCTAATTCGACTCAATTAGACCAAAGTGATAATACGGAATGTGACCATTCATTTTCTATCCAGATTTTATTCACATAAAGATTAAATTTCGAAAATTTTTTTGTGTTATACATAAATCTTGTGTTAATAAATTTTAATTTATTTAGATTTTTATTTATATTTAAACTTTATCATATTATCACAATTATGTACTACATGTATGAATATAGATATTATAACAAGTACAAAATTTTTGGAGAAAACCGGAATTCCTTGGCTTTTATTGTTTACGATTTCTTTAAGTCATCTGATTTTTTTTGTTTATAACAAAGAATTTTAAAATTTAAACCAGTTTTAATTCGTTTATCATTCATATACATATTATATTTGATTTACGTAGATTTAAATGTATACAAAAATACAAAAATACGTACTCATACATCATATTCATATAATTTTTTTAAGATTTGCTAATTTTTCTTGATTAGATTATTAAAAATTCTAACTATGTAAATTGTATTTACATTTGAATGTTATTTACTTTTTTTAAAGCAAAATAGGCCCTGTACATTTTAAAATATTGAACAATATCAATAATAAATAGTTAAAAATAAGAGATGATCGATAGGTTAATGAATTCTGATTAATTCAAAAAAAATTTTTTTTTTGAAATGTGAATTTTTTATGGCTCATTAACATTAGAAAAAACATTCAAATCACTGATTCAAAAATATAAGTAACTATCGTAAGTCTAGTACTTATAAAAAAATTCTATTTAATTTTCATTGTATAACAATTTTGCGTTAATAGTCAAATTTAAAAAGTAAATAATTTACGTGCAAATCACGTAATATTAAGTTTGGCATAAGTATGCCGAATCAAAAAATAAATAAATTTTTTTTTTTTTAACAATTTGTTAAAAACATTTACAATTCTAACTAAAGCGAGAAAATGTTAAATTAATACCTGTTAATATTACCGTTTTACGTCACAAATACGTCGCAAAATCATGCGACGCTATTGCAATGAATAATTTGGTTTTATAGTTCTGTAGCTAAGTCAAATTAGATTTTCGGTTGCAATTATTATGTAATTGAGTACAAGAATATAACAATGTTATGTTGAAAATTTTTATTTTTCCATCAACTGTTATAAACGGAATTATTAACAAAATAATTAACCAATTATGTATAATTAATTCTCAACTAATATACAATTAAAAAAAAAGCCAATTATCTTGATTTCGAAATGACATTAGAATACGAAAATTATTATTAATTTGCATATACATATGTATGTACGTATAAGTACTAATTAATTGTTTACATTTTAGATTAATTTGATTTTGGAATACAGTAGGTACATGACATATACTCATACATTTAAAATGTGAATATTTAGAATATTTTTTTGTTTTTTCAAATAAATTGTTCATTGTTATTTTTTTGAGAAGACCGCTATGCTTTTAATTAATATTCCATATATAAATAACTAACTTCATTTTACAAATTAATTATATTTAAAAGCCATTTCTGTAATTTGCATTCAGTTGAAGGTTAATTAAAAAATATTTAAGCTTTATTTGAAATGAAATTGATTGAATTTGATTGAAATGCGTTGCAGTCATTTTGTTTTTTTGCTTTAACCCTTTAATAGCGAACAAAAAAAAATTAATGTTTTAAGAAAAAAATTTGATTGCTTTAATGGTATAGTATGTATTAAACAATATCCAATAATTATACAAAATAGCATTCAATTTAAGATTGAGTCGTGTTTGTTAAACTGAATGCTCCCTAAAATTTCCAATTTGAACTTTTAATTGTGGTTACTTACTTTAATTATTCTTCATAATTTAATTGATCTCTAGTCAATATACAAAAATTTGTAATTGCAATTAAAATTAATCATAAATATTTGAATAATAATGATAAAATTATTATTTCTAATCAATAAATTAAATTTCATTTTGATAATTATTTTAAAATAATTATATGCGAAATTGACGAATTGCCGAAATTTTTTAAATTAACCAACTTATAATAATTTTACATAACCTATACAGAAGGCCATACGGCACCCGTCTTATTAACACAATAATTAACGAAGCGGAAATATGCCTCAAGTATTTTGATGTCATTCAATAATCTTATATTCTGTAGGAAAGCCCTTTATATACTCTCCAAAAATGACAAAAAAATTTTTTAGCATTCTCCCGAAACATAAAAATACAATATCGTAAATGCATTTAAACGTAAAAATACAATATCGTAATTGCATTTTGAACACAAACGCTAACATTCAATGGTTAAAATATTCTTTATCATTTTAGATAATTTCAAAATTAATCATTGAGTTCTGTTATAAGTTCTACATATATAAAAGTAACTGTTATATTATTTTCATATTTGGTAATACATGAAAATATTTGTTTGATATACATGTAATTACGTATATATGAATTGCAACAAAATTAGAAAAAAAAATTGCAAATATAATAACACACCTAATAAAAATATTTTTTTGAATATCAAGTGGAATTATGCGAAAAACGAACTGATTTCTTTTATAACAATTTCAAATAGCTCATTTTGATTTATATGCGCATGTATATACAGAGATAATAATGTTATTATATAGGTAGTATTTAGAATTAAAATTTTTACGTTAATGGGTGGTTAATGACATGTAATTATTAGTTCAGTAGCTTTTTTTTTTTGTATGTACATAACTACATTTACAATTAATATTACTTACTTTCAGTTTTAATCAGCTTTTTTTTTTCTTCTGTGTTCCATACTAGTATATTGCATTTTTTATCATTATACGGTATAAAACAGATTTTTTTTTAAAAAATGCATATATAATATAAAAGGTATAGGAATGTGCGAGAACAAAAATCCGGAAATTTAATTCATTTTATATATATATACATTAAACTGTTATATTATTATATAGCACTTGTTTATCTTATATATTATATTACATTATAATTTATGTTTACCTTTTCTTTATTATCAATTAAATTTTATTAATATTATACAAAACATAAAGTTGATAAATATTTTATAGGCTTTTATAAAAATGGAATGCATTGATCAATGCTGATCGTATATTAGTTAAGTTTTCATTATTCAGAAGAAGAGTTTTATATAAAAAATATAATGTATAGATTGTGCGTATTTAAGCTATAATAATTTAAATATCAAAGAATTTAAAATAATTAAGAAAAAAATTGAAAATTTTTAATTTTTATGTGTTCATAATTTGTGTAAGTTTTAAAATATTCAAAAAATATTTATTGTGTTTTTGAGTCAAATATACAGAAGAATTATGTAAGAATTACAAAATTCTGGAAATTAGCAGGGATTAATTTAATTATTTCTGCGTTATTTAATAATGCACTTTCGTTGATTATTAAATTTAGTGAAGTCATTTTAGTTAGCAGTGTGATGTGTATTGCAAAATAGCTATTCTGAAAATAAAATGTGTACACCTATGCAATTATATTCTTATTTATAGTTAACTTCTCGAATTAAGGCCGGGCGAATAATCAAATTTTGCAAAAAACTTTCATACACTCCATAACAATTCGAATATTGAATTATCAAAGCTATTATATTACCTTAATATTTCTTAAAAATTAAAAAATATAATAACATTATTTAATCATAAAGCCTTTAATCTTAAATTTAACATAAAAGGCACATAAAATTAAAAGAAATTTTCTAAGTAAAAATTCAGTAATATCTCTACAACCGAATTATAAATATAACAAATAATTCCACAATAAACGTGCTAATATATAAGAGTAAAATTATTAAGTATTTGTACTTGTAACAACTATAAACACAAAAAAAATATAACACTTATAAAATATGACATACTCGTATTATACTAATTAGTAATTACGTCATACAATAATTGAAAAAGCTTTTAAAATTCTATAAGATCGATGACGTTTTGTATACAATGGACAATATCAATGACATTAATTTCTATGAAATCATTTGAATTAAGTAATATGCGAGATTTGATTATTTAATGAATTTTTAAAAAAAAAAATTAATAAAATTAAATTTTTATTGTGTATATATACATTTATAACAGTTATAATTGAAATATTATAAAAAAAACTTGCGTAGCTCTTTCTCTCCCACCTGAAGCTTTTTAAACTGGAATATTGAATATCTTTGTTGATAATAAAGAACACAGCGAGAAAATTAGTGTTTATTGTTTTTTTTATCAGTATTAAAAGAGAAATTTTTGTTATTTAATAAAATTCACAAGACTTTTTTAATAGTATTAAAGCTTTTAAATAACCAGTTTCATTATCATTGTTAAACTATAATAACTAACATTCACACCTGGAGTAAATTAAATAAATTATAATTAAAAAAAATTTTTGATATTATTCAAATCAATATTTTTAATTCTATTGAAATTTATTCTGTTTTTTTTTTATTATTTATTTTTTATTTACTCTGTTGTTTGGCGCTAAATAAAGATGATTTCCATAGACAATATGATTTTATTCATATTTATAACAGTTTGCATATTTTTCGGAGTAGGAATATCTGCCATATTGGTAAGTTTTTGCAATTTTTATATAATATTATGGCACTATTATCAACACTATTATTGTATTTTTTATTAATTATATTTAATTAATTTTTTCTTTTTTCAAAAATTATTTACTTATATATACAGAGAATATATTCACGTCGTCATCAACGTAATATCGATACTGAAGATCCATTCTGTACAACTGGTGATTCAAATCAATTTAGAAGAAATCAACAATTATTAGATACAAATGAATTTACAAATCGTAATAATAATATATTTGTAATTGATGTTGGTAATGATACATTTTATAAAGGTCCACCACCACCAAAATATGGTGAAGAAATGCCACCATCATATGAAGATGCAATTAGAAATGTTGCATTAATAACAACGGGAACAACAACAACAACAACATGTACAAATGATAATATAACAATAAATACAACGAATACAACAAATATAACAGAACGAAATTCAACTGGTTAGAAAGAATATTAAATTTAATTAATGTTAAAAAATAAATGACCAAATTAAGAAAATTAATTTAAAAAAAAAAAAGAGTATTAAAAAAAAGCAGAGACATAAGGTGATATAATACATATATATACACATGTTATAATATAGTTATTTATGTGAAAACAAATTGTGATAAAATATTATATATACATAAATAAATTATATAGGAAAAAAATCGAAAATATAAAAAACAATTAAAAAATACACAAGTAAAATGTTCGATGAAAAAGAGAAGATAATCAATTATAAATAATGCGCACCTTAAACTGGGATATTATTCAAAATTATTGAGGACGTCTTATTAAGGATTGAATATTCAGATTTTAAATGGAATGCAGATTTTTTTTTTTGTGATTAAATCCAAGTGCAGTTTGTTAAAATTTAATATTGAATAAATGAAGAGTATAAACAGATCGAAGTTGAAATATTTGAAAATTAAGAAAATTTTTATAAGAAAATATTTCCAAAAAGTATTCTATACACACACACACACACACATTTAAGATGTTAAGGTTAAAATGTATTGAATAAATTTGTGAAAGAAATGGATAATATTAATACTTTTTATATAATATAATAAAAATTATTTTATTAAATTGTATACTATAGGAACTTAATTCAAAAAAACAAATATAAGTATTAAGTTTAATTAAGATGAAATTGTTAAAAACTGAAAAATTCTATAAAATAAAATTTGAAATTTTAAATTTTAAAAATAGTTGTAAAAAAAAGAAATTATAAATATTATATTCTATGAATATAAAAGAAAATTAAAATAAAAATATATTTTGTTAAAATTTTTTTAAAAATTAATAAAAGCAAAAATATTAAAGAGAAAAAAAATTGTAATAATAGCGAAACTTTGTTAAATTTCAAATTTTATATACTAAGATAGAGTATTATTTTTAAAATTTATAATTTATTAAAATAAATATTGAAAAAAAATATAAATAAAAATAAATTAAAAATTTGAAATTTCTTAAATATTTTGTGTTCTCATTTCAGACCTGCATTAATTTTAATTTTACTAAAATTTAATTTTTATTATCTTGTTCTGTAAATAATACGTAACCCTAATTAATTTCTATATTCTTACAGTCTAATTAAGTACAATGCAAAAGTAAACAAATAGTAGCTATATAGCGTACACTTTCCGAAAAAATGTGATCAAATATTTATTTATTATTGTTTATTATTTAATAAAAGACAATCTGTTTACTTAGTAATTGTGATGCAAAATCAAAATTTTTTAAAATTTCAAAGTTCTAATACAGAGTATATTCGATTCCCTAGCAAACAAAGTGTCGACTCACATAGTGACTAACTTAAAAATTTTAACAAAAGAAATTCATTATAATACAACATTCAATAAAATAAAAAAGAATTTTTTAATTATTTTGAATTTTAAATCCCATTTTGTAATTTTCTGGCCACAAAATAGAGATATGCGTCATCTAATATTGTAAATAAAGCTAATATTATGTTCAAAAGTATTCAAACATATTTAATCAAAGACAATATACACCTTTATTTACTTGTACTTAATTAAAAAAAATTGTAGACATCTGGTTCAAAAAATTCATTTCTTAAAATTTATTAAAACAATTAATATAATGGAAAAATTTTTTAAAAATTAATTAATTATAATATCATTATAATTTGGATAGATCTTGTTTTAGCTAGATTATTTCTTATTCCTATTAGAATTAACTGGTATAAATTGCAAAATTATATACAATGGAATATTTCGAATGAGAAACATATGCCGTTTAATTGAAGCTGTAAGTTTTTTTAAAAATTCAAATTAATAAATGAAAAAATTTCAAAAATATTAACCACATTATTATTGAAACAAGTTTGAACTATACATTAGAGAACTACAAGCAGGAAAGTTTTTTGTTAAGTAAGTAGAGGTGCAAAATTTATGGTAGGTTTTAAGTTGAGGCAATTTTAGATGCTATTATTTTGTATTTGTTCTCGTACTAGAAAATATATTCTATATATAATAGAGATATTCAGAATTCCCTTTCATCAAATTTAATTAAAATTAAAATTTTTGTTCTATATAATTTCTCGGCATCAATTATATTAAACACTAAACGTTGGATTTTAGGATTTAAAAAACAAATTTCTTGTGTATATTAAAGTTAATGGAAATTTATTCATACAACTGCAGAACAGAATGGATGATGTAATAACGAGTTAAAGGCAGCAAAATTTACTGACCGAACTGGACTCGAATCAGTGACCTACCGCTTTCTAGGCGGACACTCTACCATATGAGCTACAGAGATATGAAGAAATGGCCGACGAAATGTTCTTAACATTGCTTTATACTGTAATCCACATGATTTACTATCAGGCGTGTTGTTTACATTGAGATACTACATACAATCTTCTATTTGAAACACACAATCTATAAATAGATATTGTGCTTATTGCACCAATATACTGAATTACTAATACAACGTGTAGTTGTTTTAATTCATTTTCTGATGTATTTTATTTAATCCTTTAAATTTTTCAATTAGTTACTTATATATAATATATACGTATATATAATATATAGACAACTAAATTTTCATAAAAATAAGAATAAATTTAATACGATAAAGAAAACGAAATAAATTTAATTATTTATTCAAAAGAATATTGCATATATAAAATATATGCAATATTCTTTTATTATCCTAAATGTATGCAATTTTTTTTTTAATTCTATTATTTTAAAAAACTCTAGCGGAATTTTTTTTAAATATTTTTTTAACAAAGCTTCTTAACAAAATTATTATTATCGTAATTTTATAAAATATTTTTATTTTCAATTCAGAAATTTATGAAATTTAAAAATTATTTTTAATTTTTAAAAATTTTTAAAGAGGAATTTTTGTAAGAAGAATTTTGAAAAATGAAGAATTAATATTAAAATTTTCCTTATATAATATTGGCTATACAAAAATTGTAATACTTGTACATATTTGTTTCTGTAGTGCTTATTTCCTATAATATAGTAAAATATAATACAGATAGCTACCGTATATTCGAATATAATTTATAAAATGATTTATATTTTGCAGTATTTTACATTGCAATACAAAATAGTTTAAATGAATAATATTAAATACCTACCCAATTCCATAAAAATTGAAATTTTAATTTTTATTTAATGCCTATACGTTCTTGTTAGACAATATGTTTAAAATTTACCTAGAAATTCTTTCAAATATTACAAATGTTACAACAAGGATAAAACACTTATATAATCGGAATGTAGGATCATTTTTGACAATTTTAAGGAGCTTTTATTTTTAAATTTAAAATTAAAATTTATAATTTCAATAAATTCATATTATTTTATTTAATTTAAATTATTTATGAAACAAAAATTTTATAATTTAAGTATTTTCTTAAATTGCATAAGAATTTACTTTATTGTAAATTTTCATTTCTAAATTATTATAAACAAAATATTTGTAATCTGTAATTGTTACAGGTTGGAATTTAATGTCGAAATTAAACATATCAAAAAAATTGTTTTTTTTCGAGAATAAAGGAAGCTATAATTGAACTACTATGCTATAGTTGAAATCTGATGTGATCAGCACATAACCGACTGCATTGTTAAAATGTTGTGTAAGATGAAAATTTCCATTTTTAATATTTATTTCCGATTCTGTTCCGATTTAAAAAGTTTCCCAATTAATTTTGTTAAAATTCGGGCCGTATAGTAAAGTAATATTAAATTTTTTGATACAATTAATTGGAGGAGTAAACCAATTGGAAAGTAAAATGTAATTGACAGCATAATCTAAGACATAAATGATGTAAAACTTAACAATATAGATAATTAAAGCAGTTTATCTTGATGTTATATACTGTAACATAATAATAGGTATATTTATGTATTTAAATGTTGTTCGTCTTACTCAAGTTAGGTGGTCGCTATTGCATTTTAGGCCAGTGTTTTAATTTTAATTCAAATCTCACAAAATGCCCTTAAATTTACTAATGTATATACTCAAAATTTTTAATAAATTCAAATTCTTTTAATGACCAAAATCCTCAATAAATTTTGATGCAAATATCTTGAATAAAATTTCATATATATACCTATATATATTTACATACATAATACATATTTATGTATAACAGTGAAGATGGAAATTTATAATTATATATACAAAATTTTTTTTCATATTACGAATAAATTACGTTTTAGTTTGTATGAATCTATCAAATTTTAAGATTGCTTTTGATAAAGCCCTATATATATATATATATTTATCAATTACAATTTACATTTAAGCATTTTATAGAAACCATTTTATTTTCTTACATCTATTAAATATTTTAGATTTAATTGACCATAGAATCAATATATAATAATTATTTAAAATTTATTTTAAAATCTTAAATAAATCTTCTTTAAATACAATTTTGGTATAAATTTATTACATGTATATGTAAGTATATAACATTTAAAGTATATAGTAACAATAGTATAACACATATAATATAATAAGAAAATGTATACCATTTTGAATGTACCAATAAATTATCATATTCACAAATATTTTATAACACTGTAAAATGAAAAATTTTGTTATCTATATATAGGCTAGCCATATAAAAATTTTATCGTCATCAAAATCTAGACCACATTCATTATAAAAACAAACACATAAATCAATATAAAGATCTTACATGATTTTTAACCATATTATTCGGTTTCAATTTTTTTATACCTACCGTATTGAATACAATAAGGCAGGTTACGTGATGGTTTTGAAATTCGGATGTTCAGTTTTCGTTGGGAATGCTCTTCACTATTGTTGGAAAGCGTAACTAAACTGTTTTTAGATATCGGTTCTTTTGGTATGTCTGCCGGTCTGTGTGTGCATACGTATATTTCTAGTTTAACTGAACCCATTTTCATAAAAATTTTATATATATGTGAGATTATTTTGGTTATGTTACGAATTAATCAACTTTTAGAATATATCAGGCGTCGGCAACTTGAACTTTTTGCGGGCTAATTTTACATTTTCGTGCTTATAAAGAGAAATAATTAATGTACTAAAAACTATGAACCCACAAATTTTTTGGAAAGATCGGGGTCGGAGACTGATTTTAGGCGTTGATTTTACAAATTTTATACAATATCTACGGAATGGTTTGATGGCAATTTATTGAAATTTTAAAATCTGAGTTCTGGTTGTTACCAAAATTAATTGGCAAACTTTTCAGGGATGGCACAACAATTAACTGGCAAAATTTTCAGGGATGGCACAAGACGAAACTCTACTAAGAGACAAATTTACGTTTTTCTAGGTTTGTTACCTAAAAGCTTACTAATGCCCTAAGAATTGGAAAGGAGCATTTGAGAGGCATTTTTATACACTTCTGTACCACTTGCCCTAAACTAGACAACACAAATTGTAGTTGGTTATGTGCTGATCACATCAGATTTTTGGTTTCAAAAACATTTCAAAAATACACAAGAATAAAGAAATTAATTAAAAATTAAATTATTACACATGAGAACAGGATAAAAAACAAATTCAAACAAAATTTTAATTTTTTTTTCAAATGTTTGCCTATTTTTTTTACATTTTAATCCTTTTATTTTGCATACGTATTTTTTTTACATTACGGTATT